AGTGTTCTTCCGTTCCGAGACGAATTCACTTTGGGAGATCATGAAGCAAATCTACTTCCACACACACTCGAGCAATAGAGGGCCTTGATAAATTTAAGGTTGGGACATCAATTTTGAGTGGAGTTCCGATGATACCTGCCAATATTCTGAGATATTCCTCGTTAAAGCGGTGAATTGGCAGTCCTTCAAACGCAACCCAAATCGGCACTGTAGATGATTCCTCCTCCGGATTGAATTGTGGTGTCCATTTCAAAACACGCATAATATGTTGATCAAAAGACCATAGTCCCTTAATCCAGCAACGGTGGAAATCTTCCTCCAATTCAAAAAGAATGTGGATATGTCTGTGATCTATCATGCCAAGCGAATAATTGCCTTTGAAGCCAATTGTACGGAAATTGTGCCATAAGAAGTCCATCTTTGGTCTCCCCTTTGAGAATTTTCCGATAAGAGAATATTGAAAAGGAGCCGCAAGTTTTTCATCCTCCTCTTTGGATAGGAGGAACGCAGGCTTTCCTTTAAAGAGCGGCGATTTTGAGGTGATGAAAGGGGCTTCTACGGATGGTTTGCCAGTTTGGTGAATCAGAGATCGAGGGTTTGGCTTTGTAACGTTAAGGATTTGTGCAAAGGAGGGGGTGTTGGCCGATGTTCATCTGGCGGACGTAGGCCGCCGCCATGGTTGTTCGGACAGTTTTAGGGTTTTTTAGAGATAGGCTGGAGACAAAAAATTTTAGAGAGAGAGGAGACAATTTAGTCTACTATATTTATACATAATGATTTATGGATATATGGCATCGAATTAGGAGTCCAAATAAAATGTGATAAAAAAAATTAATTATTAACTTAGTTATCATTCATATTAGTTAACCTTATTATTTAAATTTATTATTGTTATTTAATGATAAAATAATATAAAATAAATAAATAAGAAAATTAAAAAAAGAAACACATTCAACAAAGGAGTAGGATGATTGGGTGCACTGGCTAGGCAAAATTGTAGGTGATTTAAGAAATTTAAACTCTAATTTTAAAACTTATGGCTGAGATCTTTTGGTTATGTGGTTTTGATTTTTTTTTTTTTAAAAAATTGAACATGCTTTATGTTTTATTAATCCTTTAATATTTTTTTGTTATATATTTATAATTTTTTTGATGAAAAAGAGATCCACCATGTATAAATTAATTAAAATTGTGACTAAATCGAGCGTTGGTTGTTGTGAACAATTTTAAATTGGTGTGGAAAATAGTTTAAACAATAAATTATATCACTTACGTATCGGATTGATGCATATGTGTTGAACTTTTAGTGTATTGAATATCTTCTTAAAAAATAAATAATTTTAAATAATGAACTCAAATAAAAGCTTTTTTGAAGGTAACTTGTTCTTTATTTGGAGGGAAGAAAATTGGTGAAGTTCTCAATAATACAATAGCAAATGGTGATATAGCAGCTTCTTCTTGATTATAGTAATGGCCTCATGTTTATCTGAATAATTTTAAAAAAGTAAAAGCAATAGTGATACAAATCTTAACAAATAATAAATAAAAGCGAACACAATATTACCAAATCAATAAACATAATTAATATGTTCAATATCATTTAAAAGATGCTTCTAATTTTTATCTATGGATAATATATATATATATATATATATGTGTATAATAGAAGTTTAGAACTAACATAACTCGCACAACGTGCGGGTGAAGGACTACTTATATAACATATCTAAAAGAAAAGACTGGAAATTACCTCTACAGACAAATATTTTTGGACTAAAAGAGATCCCAAGCAAGTTTGGGTTCTCCTTAAAAGTTATTTCAGCTTTGCAAAAGCCTTGGACATAACTCACTCTCTTCGTTAGCCCAATATCTTCTTGTTATAATTTTTGTGCTAAAAGTCTAAAGCAAGTCTCCTATTGTGAAACTAAGTCTCCTTTTTAAGTGTCTGGTGATGTGTCACATGTTCATGGCCAAAATTCTGGTGGATTCAGTTTTTATTTAAATTATTTTGTCTTGTTTAGCATTTTTCATTTTATCTTATATTTTTCTCCATATTCCTCAAGTTACGTACACCCATTTCTTATTCTCTAACTGCCAATTAGGCCCCTATTTTTGTATCCACTTTAAATCCAAAACAAATGCTTTGAAATTTCCTATAGAATTGTATTATTTGATCACAAATATCCGTGTATACTATTTCAAGGCAATTTATTGGGTGCACCCTGGGGCACCATACTCCCCCTCCTATTTATTGCACTACTAGTTCTTATTGTACTTTTTGTACTTTTTTTAATAATCTTCCTATTATTTGCAAGTTTAGTCCCTACCACTTTTTTCTCTCTCTTCTAAAAAAAACATCTCTAATATTCAAACGATCATATCACTCAATCCGTGCAGAATTAGAAAACGTGTTACACATGAATTTTATTGTACTCGTCAAGATCTATCCAACAAGATCAATGTCGAATATTTTTTTCGAGTTTAAAAATGACTAAATTTCTATGGGCATAATAAGATGGATATCTAGTTTAGAAAGATGGATAACCAGTTTAGTTTACATTAAGATTCTTGTATTGCATATATCTCTTGATTCGTAAAGAATTATAATACGAATTATACATGAAATTTATAGTGCTCGACGAAATCTATCCGATAAGATCCATGTTGAATATTTTTTTTGAACTTTAAATGCATTTAAATTTTACGGGCAGAAATGAAGAAATGTGTTTTTCATTTTTCTTTGAAAAATAGTTATCCGTTGTGTTCCTACTGATCATCCACTGATTTGGACTGATTATCCATTCTGTTTGTACTTGTTATCCAATCATATTTTGACATTCACTCTTCAAAAAAAAAAAAGAAAGAAAGAAAAAATGATTAGATAAGTATTGCAAACAATTTGGATAATATATAGAAAATAATTGGATAATCAGTGCAACACGTTAGATAATCAGTACAAAAAAGTTTGACAATCATTTTCATAAAAAGAGCAAGGAAAAAAAATACTGGATAACCACCACAAAGAAGTTGGATAATAAATATAAACAGATTGGATATCCAGTTTAAGAAGATGGATAACCAACTTATTTTACATTCATATTGTTGTGTTCCTTAAATCTTTTGATCCGTAAAGAATTATAACATGAATTATAAATGAAATTTATAGTGCTCGACGAGATCTATCCGATAAGATCAATGTTGAATATTTCTTTTGAATTTTAAATGCATTTAAATCTTACGGGCAGAAATGAATAAACTGAAAAATGATTATCCGTTGTGTTCATACTGATTATCCAACCGGTTTGGACTAATTACCTATTTTGTTTTATCCAATTATATTTTTTTACATTCACTTTTCAAAAAAGAAAAAAAGAAAAAAGAAGATAGATAACCAACTTAGTTTAGATTGATATTCTTGTATTACATATATTTCTTGATCCGTAAAGAATTAGAACACGAATTATATATGAATTTTATAGTGTTCGACGAGATCTATCCAACTGGTTTGGACTGATTATCCATTTTGTTTGTACTTTTTATCCAGTCATATTTTTTACATTCACTCATCTTCCACAAAAAAAAAAAGAAAAAAAAATAAAATATTTGGATAATCATTACAAACATTTTGGATAATCCTTGAAAATAATTGGATAAGTAGTACAAGCTGGTTGGATAACCAGTACCAAAAAAAATCGGACAATCATTTTCGTTAAAAGAGCAAGGAAAAAAAAAGTCGGATAACCATCCATCACCGAGAAGTGGGATGAATAATCAGTATGAACACATTGGAAAGATTTTTCTCAAAAGAAGAAAAAAAAAAGAAGAGAAATTATGTTTGGATAATCAGTGAAAACGATTGGATAAGGCATACAAAACGATTGGATAGTCAATACAAAAAAATTGAACAAGGATTTTGGCAAAGAGTAGAGAAAAAAATGGTCAGATAATCTATACAGAACAGTTGGATAATCAATACGAACGCATTGGACAACCATTTTTTTTCAAAAAAATAATAAAAAAAGAAAAACAAAATGGATGGATATCCAGTACAAACAGGTTGGATATCCAGTACAAACTAGTGGGATATCCATTACAAACAAGTTGGATAGGCATACAAACCAAATGGATAGATATCCACTACAAACAAGTTGGATAAATATCCAGTGCGTACAAACAAGGTAGATAGGTATACAAACCAAATGGATGGATATCCCGTACAAACAAGTTGAATAGGCATACAAACCAAATGGATGGATATCCAGTACAAGCGATTTGGATATCCAGCACAAACAAGTTGGATATGCATACAAAGCCGTTGGATTACAACTACAAAACAAGTTGGATAAGCATATAAACCAAATGGATGGATATCTAGTACAAGCGAGTTGGATATCCAGTACAAACGAAATGGATATCCAGTACAAACAAGTGAGATATCTATTACAAACAAGTTTGATAGGCATACAAACCAAATAGGTGGATATCCAGTACAAACAAGTTGGATAACCAGTTCAAACTGGTTGGATAATCAACATAAACACAATGGATAACCAATTTAAAACGAATTGGGTTATCCATCTTTCTAAACTAGATATCCATCTTATTCTACCCATCAAAATTTAGTCATTTTTAAGCTCGAAAAAAATATTCGACATGGATATTGTTGGATAGATCTCGACAAATACAATAAAATTCATGTGTAACACGTTTTCTAATTCTTCACGGATTGAGAGATATGGTCGTTTAAAGATTAGAGATGTTTTTTAAAGGAGAGAAGAAAAAAAATCAAAGGGACTAAACCTGTAAATTATAGGATGTTATTTAGAAAAGTGGAAAAAAATGTAGTAAGGACTAGTAGTGTAAAAAATAGGAGGGGGAGTATGGTGCCCCCAGGTATACTGGATAGAGACTCCTATTTCAATACAAGAATTCAACATACCAGCATTGATCACCGCCTGAATCTGATCCTTGTTTCCAACAGTGATATTGGAGATTGCCCATTAGGCTTCTTTCTTGATAGTCTTCATAGGGTTTTGGATCAACAAATTCAGAAGACAAGAAAGCCCCTGGTTGTCAATGACAGCCTGAGTCTGACTATCTTCACCAGTGACAATGTTACCAACAGTGCGGAATGCCGGAACTAGAACAGACGGCGAGTCAGTAAGGAGAAGCTGAACAAGGCGAGGGCAAACACCGGCTTCGATAACAACTTGGATCTTGCCATTATCACCATCAAAGAGATACAAAAGCGCCCAACAAGAATCAGCCAAGACTTCTTGATCGTCAGAATGTATAATAAGATAAGCCAAAATGGGGAGGGCAACTTTCATCTGCTCGAAATCAGGTTGAGGTTTTCCCCTACAAAAGTTTGACAGTGTCCAAGTCGCAGTCCTCAACATTGAAAGCGTAGATTTCTCATTGAACTGGGCCAACAAACCCGGTAAGGCGCCGTGGCCGAGGACGAAATCTCGGCACTTGGGAGATTCCCCGGCGACATTACATAAAGCCCAAACAACCTGTTCACGAACATCATTGTTTGGAGAAGCAAGCAATCTTACAAACATCGGACGGCGCCGAGGTCGATCAGGACTTTTGTGTGATCGGAAGTTCCCAAGGCAATATTCGTAAGAGCCCAAGCGGCCTCAAACTGAAGCTCAGGAAAATCATCTCTTTCGAGAAACTTAATGAACCAGGGAACAACTCCCGATTGGATAACTTCGTCAATCGGTGGACCCTGGATGGCTAGGAGTTTCCGGAACTGAGCGGTGGCTTCGAGTTGTGAAGCGACGTCGTTTGAGGAGTAGGTGCCGTCCACCATTGTCGGAAGAGACTGTAGCCTCTTCTGGAGCTGGTCCTGGCGTTTCTGATCGTCGTCGGTGGCCTGATCTCTGACGTCGCGGTGCTTCTTGGACAGGCTCTCTTCTCTTTTGTTCTTGCATCCTCTCTCCTCCGGCTGCCGTCATCGCCGTTCACGGTCTTCTTGAAGTCGTTCCGGCGAGTTGGTTTCTTATCACCATTATCGTTTGGCCTGAGCGTCATCGTTGTGTTTCGTTCCTTGGCAGATCTAAGAAAACCCTAACTTCGAGAAAACCTGGATGTAAGAAGAATTATAAATGGAAGAATATATGAAAATAATAAAGACCTTGGAGACGCTAGCTGTATATTTATAGGCAATAAATCCGCGGCCAAATCAACTCCTAAAGCCAAACAGGTCGGCCAACGTGTGATTCCTAAGACATGGAGTATTCTGATATTTTTTATTTATTATTATTTTTTTTAGAAGAATTGTATTCTAATTGGATTTAACCTGATCACAATAATCACTAATGGCGAAGGATGGAATTGTACTGACGTCTCCGGTTGGTTACTACGGCGGCCATGGCGGCGTTCAAGCCCTAATACCTGCAAAAGAGGGCCTCGAGATCTCCCGAGGGTAGAAACTCCGATACTTAAGTCAGTAAGAGTAATTGTAATAGGGTATGAATTGTGGTGCGTAGAGCGTACCTTTAACCATGAGGGGTTGATTCCTATTGATAGAGCTAGGTTATGGAACCCTTTCTTGGTAGGAAAGTAATTAGGAACCGACCCAGAAGCTTCTAGAGGCCGGTTGGACCTTTTACCAAACTTGGGCCGGCCTAGTCACAGGCCGTACTAATTTGGATTCGTCAAGTGCCCCTTATCAAGCCTATACTTTGAAGTCTGAAGATAGGGTAGGCTTGATAACGTGGAGTATATAGTTTCCTCAAGTTCGGAAAAACTGACTTGAATCGAGAACCTGTGACAAGGTAGCATCGAGGAGAAAGTAAAGCAATAAAAGCATTAGCACGTACCTTGCCGAATGCACGTATCATATAGGGCGATTGACATTTATGCCAATTTGTGACGAAAGGAGAGTCATCTATTCAAACGTTCGAGTGAAAAGTCGATAGGTGATAATCTCAATAATCTGCCCCATAGTGATACTAGAGCAGAAGCCCTGTTGCTTGAGAAGATGATAAAGAGGAGTGGAGATTCCCACTACTGTCATTGATCCAGACGTTAGTCAGGAAAGCATCATGTGATTCACCAAAGAAATATCGAGGCAAACGCCCCGCTCCTTGAGAGGATTATAGAAGGAGAAGTAGTGGAGATTCCCACTATTTCATATATAATGGTACGTTGTCAATAACTGACAGAATAAAAGATCCGCTCGAAGACTATAATGCGCACTTCTGATCAAGAAGCATTAACTCCAAATTTGAGAATAATAAATGAAAACCGATATCGAATAGCCTCGTGAATAGAGGCAAGAGATATGCCTAAATGAGGTTGAACGCATGAGTCTCGAGGACTTCGAGAAGATAAGCTCAAGAAGGAGACTTCTATCAATACTATGTTGAGTACAAAGAGAGAAGATGTAATAAGACTATGATTATCAACATTTGACCTCAAAGACATAAGTTCGAGAAGAAATATAAGCTGGAGCTGCATGCCAAGAACTTGGCCCAAGATAATTTGTTGTCTAGAAAGAAACATAGCGGAGATTCCCACTAGCCTCAAAATATGCACCATTAGCATAGAGATGAGAAGTCCATTGGAGAACTGTGACATACGCTTTTGACTGAAAGGTAATAGATCCAAACCTTCAAGGAAAACCATTGTGTAGTGGATCGAGAAGCACCATGAATAAAGACAGAATACTCTATTGACACTCGATGTCGAGGACATGAGTTTGAGAAGGAACACTGTCTGTCGAGAACTTGCCCCAATGTGACCTTCTATTAAGAAATCCAAAGGCTCGAGAAGATTCTCTCGAGCACGGTATAGAATTAGATAGTAGAGACTGTCACCATGGTATCCTTGATTGTCGAGGAGGGACAGAAGAGAGTAAAAGACATCGTAGAAGATGCCGCATGTGATCATGTCAATACAGGGATAGTGAGTCTCGAGAAGATTTTCTCGAGTAGAGCTCCAGACCAAACTCAAGAATTGTAATCATGTGACCTTGAACAAGATACACAAGCATTTAAGCTCATTTACATCTGCCCAACCGACCCGCTTGCCATTTCTCATGTGCCGAGAAATAAAGCATAGAACCCTTAGTCCGGGTTTGAGAAGTATAAATCAGGTTGATGTGTCGAACCCAAGTAGATGTATAATGTCGTTGCCCGAGATTTGAGCAAGAATCGAGGAGGTATTACGCCTTAGTGTGAGAAGGAACGATGCCCCAGTCTGAGGACCATCGAGAATAGTAGACCAATAATCATCGAAAAAACAAAAACACAACCTCCCAAACACCTCCGAAACACCTTACACACCTTCCTGACACCTTACACACCTTACAGACGCCTTACAATCTCCCATATATATACACTCCTCATTATAGATAACCCCGGAGCCATTACTCATCTCGGAGCCCCCAAGTCTTGGGGTGGTGGTGGGTTGTCGAAGCCCCCAAAATAATTTACCAACTTAAACTGTAGATAGGATAAGTCAGGTCGATCCCACAGGGACGGGTTAAACTTCAAATAACCGGAACACAAAATTAGACAAACAAGAACGAAAGTTGCAGAGTTTCACTCACTTGCACGAGTGGGTAAAGTCACTCAGGCAAGTGACTCTGAAGAACTAAAGAGAAAGAAAGACAAATGGAACCTCACTCACAGGAGTGAGAATTCTGACTCAAGGGACTGACTCTGCAAACTAGATATTCATTCTCTTTTCCCTATGTAATCAAGCTGTAATGTTGCACTCTTTTGGTATGAATTCAACTCATTCAGGCACTTATATATCTCTAAGTCACTTCCGATTTTTCCTAGAGGTATCTTTATCAACTCAATTAAACTATTTTCCAATGATTAATCAAGTCATAAAGTCATGAAGTTTTCAAGCCTTATATGAATGCTTATGCTAACCAAGTATATTCCTATCTCAATTAGAACCTTGGATTGTTACCTCCAAGTCATAAGTTGAAGCTAAATGATTCTGAACCTTGTTTAACCTTCCGGGATTCACTTAGTTCTATGCACAATCAACCAAATGGCCAATTTAATCAAGAGGTAGATGAAAGCTTTAACTTCAAAACACAAAATCATCCGAATGCAATCATAAACTTAAACTACATAGGTTCCAGAGAATGAAATCTAATTAACTACACATACAAACTACAGAAAATACAAGAAAAAAAGGAAAGCATTGAGAAGAAGCAAATTTGGATGGCTGAGCAACAGGTCACTCGCCTGAGTGACAAAGGTCACTCAGGCGAGTAAGGACTGTTACTCCTCTTTTTCTGCTACTGGACTTCTTTTTCCTTTGGAGTTTTCTCCCCTCTCTGCTCTCTTCTTCTCTCTCTGTGATGTTTTGTGTGTTGTATATCCACTCAGATCCCCCTTCATGCTGGGAATGCAGCTCCTTTTATAGAGTTTTGAAGCCGGTTCTTCTTCCAAGATAGCCTCCCCATGCTTGTGAATTATTTATTCCTCCCAATGCTTTGTGTCTTGAATCCGAGAATTGACTGGTCTCTTGCCCTTCTCCAGCACTGGTATCAGCTGCAACATTGATCATCATGGGCGGTTGGGAGTCTAACCAAGGGGACAAGCATGTCCTTGGATGGGACACACTCATTAAATTGTGTCTTGGAGATATCTTTGACCAGCTCAGCAAAATTTGATTTCAGCAGCCTAATTTTTGTTCCTAAAGCCCCTCTTTTCCAGCATTTATGCACTTAGGTCCTTACCTATGCAAAAACACAAAACTAGTTAAGCAAAATGAACTAATTCTAAGAAACACCCCTAATTCTCCATTAATTTCAGAGTAGATTGTAATGCTTTTTGTGTAAAAAATTAACCATTATCAGGTGGCATTTTGGCAGACCGAGACTTTAGATGAGAGTGTAATTCCCACCGCTCAGTTCGAGGAGGTGTCTGATCAAGAAGCCCCCCATATTCAAGGCAATAAAATCGTGTCTATCAGAAGGAGATGGATGGTAACCGCCTTACAGAAGGAATAGGCCAGTATAAACGAGGCACAAGGTGATTTTGAGAACACCGAGAATAAAGTCATTTTCATTCTGATGCATTGGATGATATGATAGATCGATCCGAGGAAGTATGCTCGAGAACAAGTCTAGTTCTCATTGATGTATAAAACGTGTGTGTTGAGGTTCGAGGGATAGACCACCCATTGTTCATGAACATGATAATCTAGGCTGTTCTCAATACCGGATGTCGAATACACGGCTTATGAGTTATGTGTAAAGCGCTTATAATGGCCGGATGTTAAGTACATGGCTCTTTTGCAGGTGATCCTGAAGAGGATACCTTTGTACAGACAATTCTAAAGAGAATGTCTTTTTAAGGATGATCCTGAAGAGGATATCCTTGAGGAAACTGGGTACGAGTTCCTCGAATACAGGCAATTATGAAGAGAATGAATTTTGAAGGACGATCCTGAAGAGGATATCCGTTCAAATGACTTGTCACGTTTAAATGGGTGTAACTGCGTGTATGAGATATAACAGCTCCCATGAGTACTCGAGTGGGCTGCCACTATGTGCATTAGACTGATAGTTTATATCCTGGGTATAAAGTGTAAATGCCCTAAGGTCAGAGCGAACTTGGTGTTGCTATTGTCCTTGAGGGATTAGCTGCGAGAGTTACACACCTCTGCTTATCTTGCCCCAGAGTTCTTGGGGTATCTTTATCCTGCAACTTAGTCCGAGACATGTATTTCAAGTATAATAATGATAACATGTTTAATATGCCATTTTCCTTGATCAAGGATACATATTCAAAGGCTCGTTGCGTACCTTGGTTTAGAGAAAGAACCCGTCTGAATCCTTCTATGATAATTGTCGAGGATATCATACTCGGATGGTGATGCCTTTCAAGCGTAGGCACCATGATAAACCAAGATAGTTCTCTGATCCTGACAAAACACCTACTCATGCACTTGTAGATTTATTAGTGAACAATAGATTTTCGTTACACGAGAAATGGCATGGAATACTCTAAACTTTTTGAGGGACCCTGCCCCCTCGAGAAACAACCACTTTGAGATGT